CTGATCTGTCTGTCCTAGGAAGTCCCGTGCAGCCAGTGAAAGAACGGCCGGGGAGCATTTCCTGTAAAGGTGGGGAGAGGTGCACACAGAGGAGGGTTTTGGAGCGAGGATCTAGGCAGCCGGCGAGGGGATGCTTGGGGATGGGCAGCAGAACAGTGAGGTGCATGGTTCCATGTGCATTAGGAGTGCAAGCCTTCTAAATATTAACTAAGAACATTTTATTAATGTGAAATCAAATGTATACTTTTTATGGGAAATCCTGCATTACAGGTTAATAAGAAAATAGACACCCCAACACACGCCTTCACCTGTCCTTCCAGCACCCTGCGTGCATGCATGGACACGTGTACATTGACAAGGCCTTGCCTCTGGAACCGCAGCCTCTGCACTCAGTCCAGCTGTGGATAGGGTGCGGTGTCCCTCACCAGACCCCGGGGCTACAGTGATGAGCAAGTCACAATCATCCTCTCTTCCCAGGTGGTCTGTTGGTGGCTGTTGAGGTGTCCAGTGCGGCGTGGAAGTTAGCCAGGTGGGGAGGAAGCCCATCTGGGGGCCACACATCCAGAGGGCATGGTGCATCTAGGGGGCCCAGGCTCAGTCTAGCTGGAGTGTGCATGTGATGGGGGGGGGGGGGGCAGTGAGAAGCCAAAGAAAGACAGATGGAAGGTGATTCTGGAACGATCTTGCTGGATGTGACATGAAGGGGGGTCTGGAGGCAGGAGGCTTTTGCAGCAACATGAGTGTCTAATGCCAGGGCCGATCCAGGAGGGGCAGCAGGAGAGAGATGTGCGGTGGGGTCTACCGTCCAGTGTGAGGTGCGGCTGGAGGAGCTGAAGGCCAGGCCGTGGGGAGGGAGCTCCCCGGTGTGGAAGATTCTGGGTACAGAGTCCAGTGGCCAGTGAGAAGGCTGGTGCCACAGTCCAGGTGACATGTGTCTGCTCCCCATGGCGTTTGGGGATGGAGAGGGTGTCCTGGACCCAAGAGCTCCATGGGCCTTGCACGGTCCCGGGGAGGACAGGATGGAACTGGATCTCTGGTTTGGGTGAGTGGTGGGTGCTGGAGTTGTAAACCTTGATGAGTAGTGGTGAGAGCAGGGGGGGTGGGATGAGTTCCGGTGCCCGTGTTTGAAGTTTGATGTGGTGGGACCGGAAGGAGGTTGAGAGGTCCTTTTCTGGGTCCTTATCTGCCCAGAAACCCCAAATTAAAGCCTTGGAAGTAGAGGAGAGAAGCCGAGACTGTTCAATGGACAAAGAGGGTCTTGGAGACCCCAGGGAACACTGCTCTTAGGCAGCTGCCCAGGCGGAGGGGCAGCAGGGTGGGTTCCTGGCATGAAGCGGGGTTGTGGGCTCAGTGCTGAGGAGTTGGAAGAGTTGACAGGTGGCTGCAGCAGGGAGGAGAGAGCATGCAGGCAGCTGCGGTGTCACGGCTGTGGAGGGGACCAGCGCTCTCTGGGGGGACTGTGGAGTCTTCTCTGTCCTAGGCATCATTTACTGACCTGTCCTCAGCCTGACACGGGTTTGTCCCAGCATCTGGCACTTACCAGAAGTGCTTTGTGGCTCATCCAGGAGCTCACTCCATGTGTGTGCTGAGTTACTTGAGACATTCCAAGTAAACCATTCCAAGCGTTGTTTTGTCAAAGGATAACAGATATTTCAAGGGTTTCGTGTGGTCTCCCAAAGTTCCTCCAAGAAGGCTGCAGTTACATGCTCAGACTGTGCCGCAGGCCAGCCCTGCGCTAGTCTGCTTGCCTGCCTGGGCCCTGCTCTCAGGACCCCATGCTCTGCACTCACTCTGTCCCAAGTCTCCTGTGTGTGTTGGTGTTTTCTTTATGAATCGCCTCTGTGTGCCCTGAGGTATTTGTAAGGTGGTTCATCACTTTCACATTCGTTTGTGAAGTCTTTCTACATTAACCCTTTGTCATATGTTGCAGACAAACGCCAGGATATCATTTTTTTTATACTTTTCATACAAAGTAAGGTGTAACATTTTGTGATTTCAGAGGTACGTTAATCCTTTTTCATTGTAATTCCTGCCTTTGTCATCATACTTAGGAAGTAATTCTTTACCTCAAAGCTGTATATTTACCTACATTTTCTTTTAGTGCTTTTACTTTTTTTAATTTTTAAATTTTTAATTTTTTTTTATTTGGCTGCATTGGGTCTTTGTTGCGGTGTGCGGGCTCCTCATTGCGGTGGCTTCTCTTGTTGCGGAGCACGGGCTCTAGGCACACGGGCTTCAGTAGTTGCAGCACGCGAGCTCAGTAGTTGCAGTACGCAGGCTGTAGAGAGCAGGCTCCGTAGTTGTGGCGCATGGGCTTAGTTACTCCGTGGCACGTGGGATGTTCTCAGACCAGGACTCGAACCTGTGTCCCCAGCATTGGCAGGCGGCTTCTTAACCACTGCGCCACCAGGGTAGTCCTAAACGGGATTCTTTAAGAAACTGTCCTGAGAACTTTTTTTCTTGCTTTATTCTGTGAAGTCTCAGAAACTGCTAGTTTCACTTGTTACCTTCTTGCCAGTTTTGTAAGAAGAAAAGCAATACATTAAGGATTTCATTTTTCTTTTCCAAAGCAAGATGGTGCCACCCAGTAAGTGGAGTTTGCTGTTGTCCTGGCACAAAGCCTGCCTGCCTTTGAGCTAACAAAGACAGAGATCCCTGGATTTCTTGTTGATGTTTCCAGACATGGCCGATAGCAGGTAGCGAGGCACCAGGGACCTCAATTTCTGACTCTCCCAGTGTCTTGCTCCAGGTGGAGATAAAATTTCTGACACTTTGGCGGCTGCCAAACTAAGAATTAAGGTGTCTTCCTCCTAGTGTACTCTGCCTGACATTTGCTAACACCCATAAAAAGTAATTGCCTTTTAAAATGGTGTATGGGGCTAGGGCTTGGTTGGCAAAAACATTTGAGTGAAGGCATGGGGGAGAGATAGAAGGTACCTGCTTTTTCTCCAGGGAAGAGAAGGGGATGCAGCACCTTTATTTTCTTGGGGAGCAGAAGGATGCAGTGGGGTAGTTAAATTTGAGAGAGAATAGCATGACACACAAAAAAGAGAGGGGGGCATTTAACAAGAATCATCCCTAGAGGGGAAGATTAAAGCGAACAGGTGCTGGGAAAATGTCTCTGCATATTAGAGCTTAATTAGATTTGAAGATGAATTCCAGATGGGCTAATTATGTGTGAATTGTTGCAGGTTGTTTCTTGTAGGGGCAAGCGTATATTTTTGGAAATGGTGATTTAGTTTGATTGGGTTTGATTCCCGCCTCCTACCGTATTTCCTCCAGTGAGAAACTACCGCTTCTGGGGCCCCAGGACCCACTCAGCAGGCCTCATACCTTGGGCTGCCACTGTCAAAACTGGTAGAGCCACGGAAAGCCAGGCCCAGCCTACCTGCTGCAGCAACGAGCATGCGGAAGGACCAGGGACTCTTGCCCAGGTGGAAGGGACAGTATTCCAACCTCAAAGGAAGGCAGACAGACAGAACGGACACTGTTTCCAGGAACCTGTCCTTTGATGGTGCTCCTGCTCCCTATGTGGCTGGCTTAGATGTGTTTGGTTAGATGTACTTGGACCGTTTTCTGGAAGGGCAGAGGGGCAGGTTCTTGCTAGCAACTCTCTGGGTTGTGAACAGAGAAAAGGTAGGGAAGGTGTGGATAATCTGAGATGTGCTGCGGACCAGAGAGTTTAATTTCTGGGGGAAAAAAGTAAATAAAAAAAGAGCAGGGCCACATGGAGCTTCTGGAATTCCTGTTAGGATAATGGACTCGGTTTAATGTAGGACAGCTTGAGAAGGTTGTCTCAAAAGATGGCATGGGCCTCTGACATCCCCGGAAGGTGTGATGTGCTAGGGGTGGCTTTGTGTCACCTGCACGCCTCAGAGAGATCTGCTTGACATCCATTAGGGTCTGAGAGCTTTAATAAACATAAACTTTTATGTAAGATCCCATAATTGGAAATTATGGATGTATAATTTATATATGACTCGATGAATGATTTATATAATGTTAAGTGATGATTTAGATAGAAAATATGACCCCCCTCTTGCAGAATCTTTAATGAAAAGTGTTGGTTCTTACGAATTTATTTCTAGAGCTGTGTTTGAACTCAGCAAGTTTGACATAAATCAGATCTAATTTTCATTTTATGATTAATGAACATATGCTGGCCATTTTTCCCCATAATTAAACTTTATGTTCCATGCATCTGATAAAGCAAAAGAAGTTTAGACTTTGACAGATTGGTGGTGGTGGTTTTCCATGTCTGCGTATTTGTGTGTATGTGTACTGATTTGTGTGTGTGTTTATTTTATTAATGTATAAGGATTAAGTTTCCATGAAGTTGGGTTTCCAGAGGTGTGTGTAAGGTTGTTAAGAGTTAGCATTCAGGTGTGAGACTAGGAGAGCTTATAGAGGAGGAGGGGCACAGATGTAGCCTGACGGGGTGGGAGCCCGGGGTCTGTGTCTCCACAGCTTTAGCACCAGGCTGGTGCCATATATATATATATATTTGTTTGTTGCTACGTTGGGTCTTCGTTGCAGTGCATGGGATTCTCATTGCAGTGGCTTCTCTTGTTGCGGAGCATGGGCTCTAGGCGTGCGGGCTTCAGTAGTTGTGGTGCATGGGCTTAGTAGTTGTGGCTCACGGACTCTAGAGCATAGCCTCAATAGTTGTGGCGCATAGGCTTAGTTGTTCTGCGGCATATGGGATCTTTCCAGACCAGGGCTCGAACCCATGTACCCTGCATCGGCAGGCAGATTCTTAACCACTGCGCCACCAGGGAAGCTCCCAAGGCTGCTTTCTTGAGTTGTGGCCGTCATCAAGAGCTCCAAGAAGTGATGGAAGGTGGATTCACTGCAAAAATATGCACATTTTCCTCTCTACTTTTCATATACTTCAACAAGAATTGTAGTAATTTAAGGGGTGAGACAAGCGTGTGAATGGAAAACCTGTCACAGGTCGGCACACCTGCACTCACGCCCTGGACCTTTGTCTTGTGTTTCAGGACATAGACAAGTTTGGCAACGAGATTACCCAGCTGGCTCGCCCCCTGCCCGTGGAGTATCTGATCATAGACGTAAGTGTGTGTCATCTCCCCACTGGAGGTCAGGACGGCTGGGGGTGGCCTCGCAAGGGTGGCGGCTTGAATACCTGCTCTTCTGCCTGCACAGGACAGGCATCCAGAGGTGTTCTGAGTCACTGAGCTCCTGGCATCCCTGAAAAGCTAGAAACCTTAAGGGCTTTTCGTTTTTTATTTCCTTAAAAACAATTTAAGGGGTTAACTTCTCCCAACCTGAAGTGTAGCAAAGGACCACCGACAAGGCCAAGCAGCCTCTGGAGGTCAGCGAGCCTCTCCCTGGCCCTGTGCACAGGTGCTGCCCTGGCCACAGCTCAGAGGCCCACTCGTGGGGGGAGCATGGTCTCCGGGGGGGGCACTCCAGGAGCCAAGAAGGTACCTGGTACCGACACGCCTTCCCCAAGTCTCGGCTCCTTTCTGGGGGTGTGCTCTGCTCACGGAGATGTGGCCACAGTGCAGAGGGGAGTGCGTGCTGCAGGAGTAGAGCCTGATGCATTTGCAGTAGTCAGCGCTCTGTCCAAAGGGTATGGGAGGTGGCTCATTTCCTTATTGCTGCCTGCCAGGATGAATTCAGGCTGCATTTGGACTAGGATGGGCATATGATTCAGGCCATAAAGTATCATTGCATTTGGAGCAGTGGGTCCCTGTGAGCTGAGCCCGCCAACGCTCCATTCAAACTGACAGCTCCCAAGAACATATTTATTACCTAGGCCATAAAGGCATCTGCTTTTTAGACTACCTAGGGTGTAATTAAGATGAAAACAGATTGATGGAGCATACACTTAGGAGGAGTCTGCGTGATTTAAAGCCAGCTTCCTGAGGTCTTCTCTCCCAGTGGCCTCCCCATCCCTTTCCTTTCACAAAGGAGCTAAGTTCTTGCCTTAGTGGTTGTCACTGTAGTGTTTGGTTGTTGGGGGAGCATTCCACCCTGTGATACCCAAGTGCTCTCTTACTGTGGAAGGAGGTTGGAGCAGGTGCCCAGACAGGTGTGCTCAGCTCCTCGTCCGGCCCCAGACCCCAACCTGACCAGGGCATCTGATGACTAAACCTCATGACCAGGTGGCTCTTCCAGGCTTCTGCAGAGGTGCTCTGCAGGTGGCCAGGCATCAGCTAGGTGACAAGGCAGGCTGGGTAGGGAGAGGATTTGAGCACAAAACAAAGTGCTCACCACCCTGCATCCTCTCCCCCGGCATCTGTGACGTTCAGGCTGCAGTGTGAACCTCGGTTCTGTTGCTCTCCAAGGTCTGTTGCAATTACAGGTCTAACAAATACTTCCCTTAATTCCACATTTACTTAACTAGTGGGTCTACTGTTGTTGCTGGTCCACTCCTTTATCTGCCTTCCAAAGCGAGGGACGAGAGCAGGCCACAGGCCTTGCCTCTGCAGCAGAGTGGCCCCTCTGCCATCTCTAGAATCATGACAACAGCTGAGACTGAGCCCCACATGTGCCACCCATTCTGCGGGCTCCACGTGTCTGGGTGCATTTGATCCTCACTGCAGCCTTTGGAGGCTTGGGCTCTCTGGTCGTCTGTATCTCTCTGATGAACAGAGCGAGGCCTCACAGTAGGACTTGGCAGTGTGCTCAAGGCCACACCTTGTGCCCTGAGGCCACGTGGTCTCGTCCATAAAAGGCCAGCAGGGCTCGATTTAGGGAGCTGCTGATGGCTCAGCTTACCGTTCACAGTGCTGGCACAGTCACAGCAGGTCCTGGGCCAGCAGGCCTGGAACAGCTCGCTGCCTTCACTGATGCAGAAAACAGGCCAGAGCAACATTTTCATTCTTTAGAAATAGTCCCGAAGGAACCAGAATAGCTATGCTAAATCTGGACAATGTATAATCTGCTGCTGCTAGTGTTATATTGCAGAGAAAAAGCTGTGTCAACCAAAAGATGGCTGATGATGGCTAACACTTGGGTGCGTTTTGGGGGAGGAGCATCTGCCACGAGGAATGAGAAACTGTATTTGTATTGATTCTTGCACATTTGCCACTGTCCCTGTAGCTTCTATTGATTGTAGGATTTAAAATCCCCTCTGTCATTTCTAAAGCATGTCTGAGCCAAATGAAGGGCTTAGGCTCCCCTTTGGACACAAGCTCCTGACTCCAGCCATCTTCAGGCGAGAGCCATGCCTGCATCTCAGTGGCCTTGCTTCTCTTCCTGCCTGGACATGCCCAGGCTCCATGGAGTGGTGCCTGGGAATTCAGAAGGCTTCAGCCAGCTCGCTGGAGGGCACTGTGGCTCTCAGAACCATCAGGGGCTGGTTCTCACATGCCCTCCAGACCCGGTGACAGGAACAGAGTCTGCTCCTGAGATGGCGCTCACACCTGTGCTCTTTCCTGTGGCCCACTCTCTAGTTCACCCGCAGCAGCAGGAGAGCAGCTGTGTGAGAGGCCGTCCCAGTGGGGCTGGAGTTAGGAACCTGCCCACAGGCACCGTGATCTTACCAGTCATGAAAAATGATTCTTCCATTTGCCTTCCAGAGTCACAGTTTTCAGAGTTTTCATTTAGGGGCTGTCCTAATAGTTAAGCATTCCCTTCAGTGTAGAACACTTAGGACTCTTGCTGCTGTGAGCAGCTCAGGGCTCCAGGGAGGGGTGTGCTCAGGGCCCACACCCTTGGTTATAGCACAGTTAATTTATCACGGGTTTGTGTTTTCGTTCATTAGATCACAACAACTTTCCCCAAGGATCCAGTTTATACTTTTTCTATTTCACAAAATCCATTTCCTATTGAAAACCGGGATGTATTGGGTGAGACACAGGTAAGCTCTTTGTCTTTAGAAACATAATTTAGAGTCCCTACTGTTTGTTTATCTAGTGTCACTATTGTTTTTCTAGAAAGTAGCAAGCTTTCTGACTCTCCTGATTTGTTTTTGTGACAAAACCTGGCTAGGCGGTTTTTCTAAGACACTGCTGATCACATGAGCCCTCTCCAGGGCAGGGGCAGTGGATGAGCACAGAGGCAAATCCTTGTAAGCCCTCAGACCTGTGGGTTTGCTGGAAGGACCATTCTCAGGGGGCCTGTTTTATTGGTCACTTTTTGTCCTCTCCCAACAACGTTATTGATTGTTGGTAAGCGTTGTCTTTTGTGACAGTGTCTCACTTTGCTGCGTGCTCTGCCCCCTACCTCATCACCCTGCCATGTTTCTCAGGCACCATCCAAGCTGTGGGGGCTCATGTGGCCTGGCCACCTTGGCTCTCACCTGCACATCAGGCCCGATCAGAACTGCTGTGACTGCCTTGTCCTGCCACATCAATGGTCTGTGAACACACATCCCAAGTTGATAACAGGCACTACAGAAAGGGGCCTGGTTAAAAAAAGAATGTGTACAGTGAGATTGTCTTCTGAAGCTGTGATTAGTGTACAAGGCCTCTCTGATGCTTTGGTTTCCTCATTGCCCACCTGCCCAGGTGCTTGTGGAGGTGCAGAGCCACTGACTGGGGTGGCACTCTTGAATCTCCCGCTTTCACTCCTGTTGAAAGTGTTAGTGTCACGTAATCCTCCCCACCGCCCCCCAATTCCTACTCCTCACTACCGTGCTGCCCTGGATCAACAATGTGCCTAGACAGACGGGGCTTCTCCCAGCCCCGCAGTGGCCCTTCCCACTCCCACTGGCCCCCAGAGGTGAGTTTGAACATGTCTCACAGCTGGGTCAGCTTCACAGACATGTTGCTTACACTCTTCCATAAGTCAGATGTACTGAGAGTGTTTTCCTGGGAGATGAGGCCACAGCTTATTCTGCAACTGTGCATTCCTCTGTCCTTGGCTCCCAGTAAGTGGTACTGGAAGGAGACGGGGAGGCCCATCCATCAGCGCCAAACGTGTTCAGTTCCATCTTTGTAGGACAGTGGCTCTCCTGTGACTCTGGCTTGGGACTAACGGGTGCTCGTGTCTGTCTCCCCCCATACCTGGCGCTCCAGGACTTCCACAGCCTGGCCACCTACCTGTCTCAGAACACCTCATCCGTGTTCCTGGACACTATCTCGGATTTCCACCTCCTGCTATTCCTGGTCACCAATGACGTCATGCCTCTGCAGGTACGGGCCAAGTGGGCTTCCACTTCTCAGACCAGAGCATGCTGGGCAGCACCAGAGCAGCTAAGTCCCCCTTAACCTGTCCTGTGGGCAGCAGCTTTGCACAAAGGCCTTGATAGAAAGGTGAATTTTTCACTTTTAGCGTTTACACTGGAATAGCTTGTTCAAAAGTGTCTGCCCTCTGTGATGGAGGACAGTTCCTCCATTCGTTAGAACCACGTGGGACTCAGAGGCTTCTTAGCTCTGTGTCCTTCTAGCGGGAACATGAGGGATCCAACAATTTAAAAATTCCTGTTGGAACAGTTTGAGAATCCCAGCCTCTGCTTCTTCCCGATCTCTCTCCCCTCTTCCGAATCAGCTCCAGTTTATCACCTTGGCCCAGAAGGTTGGCCAGCGTCCAGGCCCCAGGCACACAGCTGCACAGTTGGCGTTTTTAAGACTTGCTGTTGGGGGAAATGAGGGCGAGTGTTACAGATGGCGGCTGCTTTCTGAGCAGCGCAGAGCCAGCAGGGCCAGCCAGGAAGCCCCTTGCGTGGGTTGTGTCGTGGCTGTCCTTTTACTTTGGCCCTTTTCCTGCCTGGGACCCAAGGAAATTCATTTCTGCGAGGTGACAGAGTAGAAAGGAGAGGCTCCTTCCTCCCACTGCTTTTCTATGTCAGGTGGCCTGTAGCTGTTCTTATATCTTGTGTCTGTGTTTTGTCCAAACTACCCATTTGTGATACTTGACACCAGGCACCCCGAAACTTTTCACTGGATTTGCCTTCCCTGTTAAGCCCAGAGAGTTGCACCTCCAGCCCCCGGCTTAGCTGCTGCCCCTCCAGTTGGGGAGGTGGTGAAAGCTTAGGGCCTTCTCCCTGGAAAACGTGTGCTGTTTTGCAGTCACTTGTTAGGAAGCATTTTCTGTAGATACTGCCTGAGAGCCCCTGGAAGACTTTCGAAGTCTCTCATTATAAAAACTATTTAGGGCTTCCCTGGTGGCGCAGTGGTTGAGAGTCCGCCTGCCGATGCAGGGGACACAGGTTCATGCCCCGGTCTGGGAAGATCCCACATGGCGCGGAGCAGCTGGGCCCATGAGCCATGGCCGCTGAGCCTGCGTGTCCGGAGCCTGTGCTCTGCAACGGGAGAGGCCACAACAGTGAGAGGCCCTCGTACCGCAAAAAAAAACAAAAATAAAAACTATTTAGTTCTCTTCACTTTGACCCTGGAGGCCTAGGATGCAGAGTGTATTGAGATACAGACGTGATGGAGAAAACAGAGGGCCGAAGGGGTTGTGAGGGAAGAGGGTGGGCCTCACGGCCATGAGGCTCCTGCCCATCCACCCAGGCCCTCTGGAGAAGGACTGTGAGCTGTGATTACCTAGGGGGTGGAGCACAGCCAGCCTGGGACACAGAGTAGTACAGCGGCCAACCTGGGGATCTCTGGGAAGAATTTAGCACTGGTATTTATAAACCTAAGTGTGTGGTGTTTTGGATTTCATAGTGACAGCCTGTGAAATTTTTGAAATTCCCTCTGAAGTGTGTCTTGATGCTGTGGAAAAAGAAGCTTGTGAACAAGTCTATCTACTGTCAGTGAAGCGAGTTGGAACCTTCTTTTTTGGCTTCTTGCAGGACAGCATCAGCTTGCTGCTGGAGGCTGTGAGGACCAGAAATGAGGAGCTCGCCCAGACGTGGAAGAAGTCTGAGCAGTGGGCCACCATCGAGCAGCTCTGCAGTAAGTGTCTTACCCTACCGCAGTCCCCATTGCCAGGGCCCAAACTCCTGCCCTTCAGGGCTCCAGTACTGCTTCCCGGGCCCTGGACACCTGACCCCAGATGCCTTCTGACAGCATCGTGGGCAATGGAACAAGCAGACCTCTGCCGGGGCCCACAGATGTTTTCATCACTATAACATACGCGTAAAGGCCACAGATTTTGGGTATACAGTTCCATGGATTTTTGTACACGTACATACCAGATACACTATTCTTCAAGCATCTTAGGAGCAGTTTGAAAGTCATTGTTTTTAGATGAACAGAAACTTCACACTCACCTAAGTGCTGAGTGTGGACACCTTCTGGACTCCTCAGGCTTTTCTTTTCCCCTTTCCCATCAGTTCTCAGAGCATTCTTGGTGGCTAAGGAGGAAAAGACTTAGAGAATAGAGTTCGGGGATCTTGTGTCTCCCGGGTGAGCGCCTCTGTCAATCAGCCTTGGGAGCTGCCCCCACGCTGCCAGTGCCGTGGCCACCAAGCCCCCCAGCTGAGGGCTTGAGAGGGCAGTGACCGTGGTGGCCCTTTTCCCTGTGGCTTTGAGAAGTATTGTAACGCCCCCTGGAGACAACAGTGAAAGTACATACAGCAAAGTGTTGCAATATTTTCTCAATCCAGTGGGCTGATACTTGAGCCAAAATTAGCCAGGAAACCCTCAGTGGAACCAAGCCACAGGGAGTCCAGCAGGGTTCTTATTTTCTCTCGACACTAAGTACCTAGAAGCTCAGGGGTTGGAGCTTTGGTATTCATTGTGTCATTCTTCTTAATTTTTCTTTTTATACAATTCTTACAACCAAACAGTAAAAGGGCTGGATGTGCCATGTACTCTTCTTGCCTTCACATTCTGACACAGAGGACCCATTGTTCCCACCAAATTCCCTACAGCGAAGCCCACAGCCTTGTGTCCTTGGGTGGACAGTGGTGAGGTGCCAGCCAGGATCTCAGCATCTGGTCCAACTCTCCCATGTATGGGGCTCTCCAGGCCCCTGGTGTTATTCTTCAAATGCTTCACACACAGACATTGAGTGCAGCAGCTTTAGTAGTTTGGAGCCCTCTCTCTCAGCCCAGAAAGTGCACACAGGGAAGCCGGGACAGGGGGTGGGTTAGCTAAGAGGTTATCCTGGACAAGCATTGGCCCAGTTGGGGGAATGGAAAACTAGATCAGGAAAGGTTTCAGTCTGAGCATTTGGCTTGCTTTTGCCAACCCCATTAGACACTAATGAAAAACTAGCGTCCCCATAGGAGCTGGGTCCCATTGGCTTCGTGCCTCATACTTAGGGTGGGAAGAAAGCCAAGCCCGAGTCAGGCGTCAGTCCTCCGGCAGCAGGGTGACACTGTCTGGACCTGCTGCCTGCAGCCTCTGTTGGGAGAGCGCCTGGTGTTCACCAACACTCACTTTGCTAAAAAAGTGCTACGTGATTGTCAAATGCTGTCAACAGATACACTACTCGTGGAATTCCAGTCACTGCATAGGGTTGGTAACACAAATTAGCAATGGAGTACCTTTACAGATGCAGAGTCACAGAACATGAGAGATCACAGGATATAGTCAGTGGAAAGAGCTCTTTGCTGAAAACTAACACTCTGTCAGAAGAAGAGCTAAGCAAATGGAAAAGAAATGCCACTGTCTGGACTGGAAGACAAAATATTTTTAACGTCAGTTTTCCCTAAATTGATCAGTACAATCTCAGTCAAAATCCCTATAGACAGGGCTTCCCTGGTGGCGCAGTGGTTGAGAGTCCGCCTGCCGATGCAGGGGACATGGGTTCGTGCCCCGGTCCGGGAAGATCCCACGTGCCGCGGAGCGGCTGGGCCCGTGAGCCATGGCCGCCGAGCCTGCACATCCAGAGCCTGTGCTCCGCAGTGGGAGAGGCCACAACAGTGAGAGGCCCGCGTACCGCAAAAACAAACAAAAATTGGTCAGGACTTCCCTGGTGGTACAGTGGTTAAGAATCCACCTGCCAATGCAGGGGACACAGAAACCGTTTGAGCCCTGGTCCGGGAAGATCCCACATGCTGCAGAGCAAGCAACTAAGCCCATGCGCCACAACTACTGAGCCTGTGCTCTAGAGCCCACAAGCCACAACTACTGAGCCTGTGCTCTAGAGCCCACAAGCCACAACTACTGAGCCCAAGTGCCACAACTACTGCAGCCCACACGCCTAGAGCCCATGCTCTGCAACAAGAGAAGCCACCACTGTGAGAAGCCCACACACCACAAGGAAGAGTAGTCCCTGCTCGCCGCAACTAGAGAAAGCCTGTGCGCAGCAACAAAGACCCAATGCAGCCATAAATAAATAAATTTATTTGAAAAAAGAAAAGATTGGTCAGTTGGACTTTATCAGAATGAAACACTTAGGCTTATCAAGAGAGCTGTCAAAAACTTGAAAAGGCGGGCTTCCCTGGTGGTGCAGTGGTTGAGAGTCCGCCTGCCGATGCAGGGGACACGGGTTCGTGCCCCGGTCCGGGAAGATCCCACATGCCGCAGAGTGGCTGGGCCCGTGAGCCATAGCCACTGAGCCTGCGCATCCGGAGCCTGTGCTCCGCAACAGGAGAGGCCACAACAGTGAGAGGCCCGCGTACCGGAAAAAAAAAAAAACAAACTTGAAAAGGCAAGGAACAGACTGGGAGAAGATATTCCACAGAAGATGTTCCATAAAAAGAATTACAGTGATGGTCACCATCAGTCATCAGAAGAATGAAAATTAAACGAGGTACCATTACACGTCTTGAGGGTGGCTGAGATGCAAACACTGGCTGCATCGCGTGCTCACGAGCTCCCAGAGCAGCTGGAGCTCTCGCACGCCCAGTGAGGATGACCCAGCGAGCCCACTGCTACCCAAGAGACATGCAAACACAGATCCACATCAAGATTTGTTTAAGAATATTCATGGTGGGCTTCCCTGGTGGCACAGTGGTTGGGAGTCCGCCTGCCGATGCGGGAGACACGGGTTCGTGCCCCAGTCCGGGAAGATCCCACATGCCACAGAGCCGACTGGGCCCATGGGCCGTGGCCACTGGGCCTGCGCATCTGGAGCCTGTGCTCCGCAACGGGAGAGGCCACAGCAGTGAGAGGCCCGTGTACCGCAAAAAAAAAAAAAGAATATTCATGGCAGCTTTGTTCACAATGGCTCAAACCTGGCAGTGACCCAACTGTCTATCAGGAGAGGGATAGATAACTAGGGATGGTGTTCACACCGAGCTCTACTGCTCAGCAGTGTGAAGGAAGGAACCACTGACACAGCAAGCAAGGAGGGTGGGCAGGTGCATGAGTGACCACAGCTGACAGCTTTCCGCTCTGCAGACAGCAGCTTTACTTATCGGTGTTCTGTGTTTGAGCAGGGGACCCACAGTAGGGGCTCTCGAGCCGCATCTGTCCACGCCTGCAGCAATTGCTTTTAGAGTCCACTCCTACCCTGATAAGCAGCTGTGCAGAGCTCTTAGATGGAGTGGGACAGCTTCTCAGTGCAGAAATGATGAACGCTGCTTCTCCTCCTGCCCCACAGGCACAGTCGGTGTGCAGCTTCCAGGCCTCCACGAGTACGGAGCCGTCGGGGGCTCTGCACACACCACCTCAGCCGCCATGTGGGCTTGTCAGCACTGCACCTTCATGAACCAGCCAGGCACCGGCCACTGCGAGATGTGCAGCCTCCCCAGGACCTAGGGCTCCCGGGCCCTGCTGCCCGGACTGGGCCCACCCTAGCCCTCTCTGAAGCCAGGATTGTTGCAACCATGCCCCACCGCAGGCAGCCCTGAAGGCGAGGCGGGGGCGGCTGCCCTGGGGGTCTCTGACCCATGAAGCTTCTCAGCACCAGGCTTCCCTGGAGGGAGGGAGCCAGGCTGGTGCTCTTGGGCTGAAACCAGTCTCTTGGTGGAGGCACCGTATGGCCCCATCCGGATGCCCTGCAGCAGCTCCTACTGTGGTAGAAGGACTAGGTGCCTCTAAATCATCACCTGGAATTGAGGGGGTGGGAGGGCTTGCTGGCACCATCCAGCTTTCTTTTTTCCTTCCTTTGGATGCTTTTGGTTCCCATGTTTTTGGTTGGGAGCTCTTGGTGACCTCTGTACCCCGTTGCTCTGGGGCAGACCCTGCCTGTGAGGGCCACCTCTTCCCCTTCCAGTAGCCATCGTGTGGTGGAAATGCGTGGCCACGAGCTTGCTGGTCTTCTGTCGCTTGGTCTGCAGGTGAATCTGCTGCCCGCCCTTTCCTGCTCTCACCCAGCGTCCAGGGGGGACTTTAAAGTCTGCTTTGGTTGTAATAATAGTTACCAGTAATTCCTGCAAAGAAGACTTTTATTTATTTATTTTTTAAGATAAAAACTGCATAAAAGGAGAGAGACTAGTTTCCACCTTCGTCCCTCCTTCAGTGAGTCCCTGGAGGTGTGTGCAGGCTGGGTGGGTGGACGGGGGACCCACAGTCGGGTCTCCTCACAAATGAACCTCAGTGCCTGAGACTTTCCTGCCAAGCCACACGGCTTGGACAGGTGCAGACCCAGGTAGTCCGAGCAGGAAGCTACTGCTGGCTCCCACTGAGCAGGCAGCCTCTCCAGGGGGCCAGCACTGCTGACCAGGCCTGCATGGGGTGAGCTGGGTGGCCCAGGCAGGGCTGGAAGCTCTGGTCCCCTTCACCCCACACACCATTCCTTCCTGTTGCCCTGGCTGGGCCCTGGCCTCTGGCACGGTGATGTGGCCCCGGTACAGGCCAGGCCACAGTACAGCAGCTGTGGGGCTGCTGCGGGGACATTGGAAAGTAGGTACTGTGCTGAGGTATGGGTCCAGGCTATCCCAGGAGAAAGGTTGTGGTCAGACTTTGCATGTGCTTTGGGGTCCCTGTGTTTCCTCTGTGGTTGAGCTACGGTCTGGCCTTTCCCCGGGAGCCGTGGACATCCTGATGCCTCTTTGCCTTAACAAGAGCCGTATCTCTGAGCTGCACTACACCCACCCATAGGAGAGGCTGACCCAGACAGGCTGCTTGGGAACTTCATGTCTCTGTCCTAGGGCAGGAGGCAAGCCTGTGTGACCCTCCCTCGCCCTTGGCCTGTGAACAGAGAGCACTTGGGCATGTGTTCACCTGTGGCAAGGGCTGTGCCTGGCACTCCAGGTCCACCTGGCATGGGACACCAAGTGGCCAGTGGGGTTGGGTCTGGCTACAGCGGATCTGTTCTGGGGGGCAGGAGGTGCAGAGCCCCTTGTTTCCCCAGTTAATCTGTGGCCACCTGCCAGCAAGCTGGGAGGACCATCTGGCCCAAGTCATCTGCTCCTTTGATCAGATGTGAGTCTGCAGGGGGAGCAGGAGGGCGCTGACCTCAGACCTCGCGGCCCCCACCGTTCCTCCTGTACTTGTTCTGGTCTTTATCTACCGAGCTAATTTCCTTTTCTCTTTGACCAGTGTCCTACTCACCCTGAAGTTCTGGCATCTGCATAGTTCGTTTCCTTTTATCTTTTAGCTAAAGAAAAAGTGTTGTGATTTCTCTGCTTCTGGTTTTGAGTCACTCTTTGTTCAGTAATGCACTTTATTTTGTCCAAAGAGAGTCGGGGGTCAACATAAGGAGTAGGGGTACCTGCCAACAGGCTCGGGCCCAGGCAGCTTAGCCATCTCCTCTTGCATAGGGGAGGGGCCCCCAGCTCCACTTTCATCCTACCTGCCCTTGTGTGGACACACCCTCTCATGCCACCAGGCACCAGGCACCAGGTACCGTAGCTCAGCGAGGGGGGACCAGGTGCCCGGCCTCCACCAACCAGTCTGCTCCCAGTGCTCCCACTTGGGGCTTGCAGGTGTGTGTTGGTTGGGTTTGTAGTAGCGTTGCCTGGACTCCAGCCCTGCAGTTGAACCAATAAAAGCACCTGAAGCGACCGCCAGCCCTGTTTGTCCTTCCTGGGCCCCAAGGCCTCTCCCTGCCCTGAGCCTTGACTTGCCTACCTTGTCAGGCGACTTGATGACTTTCCCCTCCACACATCACTGTTCTCTGCTGACATGTTTAGAGTATTGAAGGGTAGAGACCCGCTCCTCCTGCCCAGGCTCCGCGGCCCCGTGCTCCCAGTGTAACGTCCACTGGAGGAGCAGAGCCTGGCCTCCCTCCATGCCTTTTCTGCACCTTTTCTGCCTGTCAGCCATGTGGCTGCTCCTGGCCTCTGCGTGGTGGGTGAGGTGCACTCCGCCAGGCAGCAGGTGAAGGATAGTGCCCAGAATCCCCCAGGCTTGCACAGATGCAAGGGGAGCAAGGCCTGGAGGGGACATTTGTCGAGTGACAGCCGGGAGGCGCTCCCCCTGATGTTTAGTACCAGCCTTCACACGCACCTTACCACCCATTCTGTCGTTTGGCCACTGGCTCGCTGCTTCCTGAACAAGTATATAAGAAACACTGCCCACTGATGTCCAAGGGGCCCTGGGGAGAGGCAGGCCCAGCCTAGCTTCTGGACTGGGGTGGGTGGGCCCTCAGCACCTGGCTCCAGTCCTGTCCCTGAGCTTGCCTACTTTTACCAGCAGTGTCTTGCTCTCTCTGTGGCTCAGGCTGCTGACCTTGTTGGTTCTGTGAAGTGATGAGGTTCTAGAACGTCATCCATCCTCCTGAAATCAAGCAAGTGGAGTGTACTGCTTGGAAATAGAACTCAGGGTCCTGCCACCCCCTTTCCTGGCATGTTCAACATGTTGGCAGGCTGTGCTGCCTATAAGTGCCTGGCACAGCCTGCAGCTTCCCTGCACATGCTGTGTCCTGTCCCTCCCCACCCCTAATGCTATCTGGTGGTAGTTTGTCCTTGGGAATATGTAGCCCCCACGTGTGGCATAGAGACCACTGACTGTCCACAACACACTGTCTCACAGGCCTCCTGCCACAGGCCTTCCGTGTACACCCACATGAGGGGCCCCTCACTCCACATCACCCCTGAGCTGGCTAAGCCCTTTGCTCTGTAACCTCCGGGGGGATCAGCGTTCAGGGCCCCCTCGCTGTTTAGATGGACTGCTGATGGTCATAAATCCTTGTATCACAGAGTATGGGTCTTGCATGGACTTGGGGCCAGGAGCCTGCTAGCCCCCCTCAGCAGAAGGGAGTGGGACAGAGGAATGACCAACTTTACAGTGCCTGGCCAGTCAGGGCTGAACCTGGGAGGTGAGGCCTGGCCAGCTTAGCCCACCTCCCAGATGCACTTCCCCATGCAGTCATTTTCTCTAGGACAATCCTGGTGTAGTTCCCTTGGTGTTGGGAAATAGTCTGGGAGGGCCAGGTTGGGAATTGGTGTGAGCATGTGGCCACAAGGATTGGTGGTCAGAAGACCAGCCAAGAACGCTTGTGCACTCAGGTTGGGGGGGTGGGGGGTGGGGGTGGGATTCAGAGTGGTGTGTCTCTTGAAAGGACCATGTCCTCACTTCTAGTTCCAAAGGCCACATGGGAGCTGGTCTCAAGAGAGGGCAAAGGACAGGCTGCAAATGCCATACTGATGCTGGATCCAACCCAGAAACACTGGAACAGTAGCGGTCCACTGCCCTGGGGGTTGAGCACCAACCTCAACAAGGGGAATTAGAACTTTTGCTACTGGTTCTTTGTTTTGGCAGGTACACCAGCCTTGGTGAGTTCAGCTTAACTCAAGCCCAGAAAACACTTGGCAGCTGGGCTCCTTCAACTTGCCCTGTCTGGCCACACCCCTCCAGATGCCTCTTTCTTTCATGGGTGTCTGACCTTGGAGACTCCCATTGGCTTCTTAAAGGAGAGGGATGTGATTGACCTGTCTGCAGGCACCTTTCAGGGTCGCTCTGGGTCAGTCTCATTCGGAGAACTCTTGGCCCCTCTGATAAGCACCTCTCCCCAGAGCCTTGGAGGACAGGGTTGGGAAGGAGAGGTGTCTTGCCCTGTCTTCACCCTGACCCTCCACGCTGACTGATGGTGAGCTGCCCCCCTTTCCAAGGCCCAGCCAGTCATTTTCTTCATGGTCTTCTGACCTCAATCCAGAATTCCTCTGGCTTACCCTTTTTCCCCACTGTCCGTTCAGACCAACACGCCCCCAGACAGTTCGTTCAGGCATGAAAGGGACACTTCTGTCCATGTTAAGCTCAGACGCAGCAGTGCCCTGGGGACGGGGTAGGCGTGGGCGTGGCTCAGCAGCTCAGAAGGAGGAGATTCATCCGTAGACCGAGGGCCCCTCCCCCCAGCCCCCGGCTGTGGAAGTGGCAAGACCTCACGCTGCCCGCCCCCTCCTGGAATTCGCAGATCTAGCCGCCCCGCAAAAGGCTAGAAGGTCGCTTTAGGAGCGCACCGTCCGCTCGGAGGAGTCGCGTTCTGACGGGCCGCCGCCCTGGGGAAGTCAGTGTACTGGCCCGGGTCCCGGAGCCGGCCTGGCCCTCGGGCGCACGAGGGAAGCGCGACTTCGGGCGGGTCCAATGGAGCCCCGGGGGAGGACGGACGAGCGGAGAGACCAAGGCCCTTGGGCTTCCCGTGTTTGGCTTTAAACACGTTGGCCCTTTGCCAAACCGTTCTGTGTCCACTAGCTTTACCTCAACGGCGCGGTCTTCGACCCAGGGGCCCGGGCTCCCGCGCGGACCGCAACACCTGACGCACAGCCGCCCCGCCCCCGGCTCCGGCCCCGCCCCCGCCACGCCGCTGTACGGCGGAGGCCGCGCTGCGACCTGGGCGGCCGTAAAGCGCCGCGCCCCGCCCCGCCCCTGGCACCGGCGCTGCGAGGCCAAGACCCTTCCGGTGGCCGGGCTACCTGGCGACCCCACGATGGCCGGCCTCGCGCCGCGGGTCGAATACCTGGCGGGCTTCTGCTGCCCGCTCGGGGGCCTGGCGGCGGGCAAGCCTCGCGTGCTGTGCCACGGAGCGGAGGTCTTCCTGTCCACCGGGAGCGAGCTGGTCTATGTCTACGACCGGGAGGGGCGGCTGCTGATCGTGAGCACCCGGCAGAGGGGCCAGGGACCGGGGGAGAGGGCGGGGCGGAGTGGAGCGGGGTTCCTGAGCCCTGGAGGGGGCGGGGCCGGGCGGGAATCCACCGAAGGCCCGGCGTATTTGAGGAGTTTGTACTCCGCCTCTTCTGGGCCCCACGCGCCCGGCCTGACTCTGCGTTCTCCTCGGACGTCCAGGCCGTGTACAAGTTTCCCGGTCAGGTGTGGCACCTGGAGCTCCTGGCCCTTCGCAGGGCGCTCTACGTTCTGTGCGCCCGGAGTGGCATCTATTGCTTGTCTTTGGACCAGGCGAGCAGGTGAGGCATGGTCGCTGGACGGCACTGCTTTGGGCGGGTCCACACTTGCCTCTCCGGGGTTGAGGCGGACATGGCCTCAGATGGGCTTCTCGCTGTCTCTGACTGGTACTTCCCTGCCCTCCTCAAACACTGCCCCTGTGACCTATATGGTCCTCTTACCCCTGGACTGCATTCAGAATGAGCACTCACCAGGCCTCCAAGGTGGGGATGGTGGGCTCAGGGCCAGCTCTGAAGTCTTGGGGGCCCCTGTCCTCAGCACCTGCCTTCTCTAACAGGCTCCTGCTCACAGAGAATTCTTAGTAAACGGGGTTCAAGCGGCTGAGTCTGCAGCCGGGAGCAGGATGCTGCCCCTTTGGCTTTGATGGGCCTTGGTGGGTCTGGCATGACACACCTATGAGGTGGGTCTCTGTGAACCCTGAGTCAATGGTTAAAGGAGTTTCACCATCCCCCTCCACCCCTGCCACCCCCCAGTACCAGTGCGGAGCCTAGAGCCTAGACTCGGGCACCTATTCACTACTGGTTTAGAAAATAAAAAGGTAGCAGGTGTGATTCACAGCTGAGGCCTTGGGGGTCTGACAGTTCTGCAGTGATGAGGATTTTCTGTCCAAACCCCATTTCTGGAAGGCTTGGTACATCCTATTATGCCCGTGTTTCTGGGCGACTGGTGGGGAGCAAAGCAGTCCGTGGAGCAGGTGGGAGGCACTGTGGCATGCCAGCTGCTCCCTGGTGGCTATAAGTCACTGAGATCGCTCCTTGTACAGACCCCAGGCCCATCATGTCAGTGGCAGGCTGTCACGAAGGGAGCTTGTGAGCACTGTAACTGACATTTGCCTGTGTTCTCAAAGGTCTGTGAGCCGGGATGACAAGGATGACAGGGACGACCAGGACAGTGAGGATGGGCAGGTCGATGAGCTCCCTGTCCCTGTGATCCCCGTGCACCCAGACACCTGTGTGCTCCCCAGTGCCACACTGCATGCCTTCACCGTGCTCGATGACGTGCTCATCACCCTGGCACAGGGCCCCACCCAGTGGAAGATGCAGCTGTTTGAGCGTCCGTGTCCAGGGGAGGACCCTAGGCCCGGAGGCCAGATTGGCGAGGTGGAGTTGTCCACCTGCACCCCCCCAGCTGGGAGCCTGGGGGAGCCCACAGCTCCACGCTTCCTCCCAGTGCTGTGCTGTGCATCACCACCAGGCTCCAGGGCCGCACATGGCCACCTGTGGGGCTCTGGGGGCGTCACGCTGGAGGGGGCCCTTTTTGGGCTACTCTTTGGATCTGATGCCTCCCTCCTGGAGTCGCCCGTGATCCTCTGTGGTCTCCCCGATGGCCAGCTCTGCTGTGTGGTCCTCAACACCCTGGTCACCTCCAGGTCTGCCCCTGGTGATCCGAAGGCCCTTGTCAAGATCCTCCATCACCTGGAAGAGCCTGTCATCTTCATTGGAGCCTTGAGGACAGAGCCACTGTCCGAGGATGTGGAGGACGCGTACTGTGACTGCCTGGTGGCACTCGGTCACCGTGGCCGGACACTGGCCATCAAGGCCAGCTGGGACGAGGCAGGGCATCTGGTGCCAGAGCTGCGGGAGTACAGCCTTCCGGGGCCTGTGCTCTGTGCGGCCCGCGGCAGGGGCGGCCGTGTGTACCACAGCACCCCCTCGGACCTCTGTGTAGTGGACCTGGCTCAGGAGGTCTCCCCCTGGGACCTCACGCAGCGTGACGGGGCCCCAGGAGGCCTGCCCTCTCTGCTGTGTCCAGCCAGCTTGAGTGTCTGCAGCGTCGTCACCCTCTCTGTGTCATCTAGGGCGCCTGAAGGTACGAGCCATGGCTGAAAGCTAAAAACCAAAGCCATGGGGTGGGTGGAGCCTCTGCTCTGATGTCTCCTCCCTGTGAACTGTCCATCCTCCTCTCCTTGCCTCATTCCTGTTCTCCATAAAACTGCCCGGGCAGGCCTACCCTCCCCTGGCATAGCCTCGTGGTTGATGCTTCTTGTCTTGGGGTCCTGTGTGGGTTTAGGGGCGGGTAGGGTCTGCACCTGAGTGACCCTGGGCAAGAGCATCTTCCCATGGCCAGTAGCGCAATGGAAATTCAAATCGGTTCAGGTCAAACCTTTGTGGGCTTTTTGACACTTACTTACCATGTGGCCTCCAACGAGTCCACCCTGCACCAAAGGCAGGGGGCATCGCCAACCTCTGATGTGTGTGTTCTCCCCAGACAGAACTGGAGGGGGTTTCAGCCATGTTTGCCCAATGTTAAGGGGGAGGGATAAGAGTTCCCCTCCCCCTAGCGCATATTCCCCTTAAGATAGCCTAAGAATGCATTGTAAGGCCTACCGTGGACCATACTCGATACGAAAGAAATGCTTTTGAAGTGAAAAGACTGCTGTCTCTCCCACAGGGAAAGATACACACAT